TGGGAGGGAGGGGGGATCTATAAAGACAAGAAGAGGTGGGAGCGGGGGAAGGAAAGAAGCTGCGCGGCCTCCAGGGGCCCGGAGCTGCGGTAGCGGCCGGGAAGCCCCGGCGGGTGCATGGTCGACCTCGCCTGGCCGGTGGTCACCCAGGCGGCAGCCCACGCCCACCAAGAGCTGGGCCTCGCCGCTGTGATGCTGCCCGCCGGCTCACCATAGCCAGGGAACACGATCCCCCGGCCGCGGGCCGGGGCTGATGGGGGTGGCGCGATTCCCGCGGGGGTCTCCCCCAGGAGACCCAGGCTCTCTCCCTAGCCAACTCTTTCAAAATTGCTCAGGTTCGGGGAGACTTTGCGTCTTTGTTCCAGCGCGGCCGCCTCTCGTAAGCTTGGCTCGCTCGCCCTCGCAGACAATGTCCCGGAGCCGGCCTTGGTCTACTATCCGCAAACGGCACGTTTGCCTTGGGTTCGGCGTCCCGGGGGTGTTCCTTCTGGGCCAAACAACAACGTCAAGCCACCCGAGCAAGGGGAGTCCCTTCTCCTCAGGTCCCCTAGCCACCCTGTGCTCCCGCCCCGCTCACACACAGGCACACTCTGGGTGCCCAGCTCAACCGCACCCAGCTGCAGGAGCGCGGCGAGAGTGAATGCCCCAGCCCGAGGCGCGTCTGTTTGCCCAGGTTCCGACGGCTTCAGGGCCGAGTTTTCTGGCAGGCTAATCCTATTAGTGTCTGCTCAGTCCGAATTTAATCACAGATCAGAATACGACGACATCGCCAGCTTTCCTGGAGGCTTCGGACACACTGTATCGGGACGGAGCCTGGCCAAGCCAACTGGCAGAGAAAAGTATTTGGCGGCGCTCTGGGGGGCTTCCCGCCCGCCCTGGCCGGCGCCGGGCGCCCAGCTCTGCCGCCGCACGGATGCCCGGGAGCCCGGAACGCAGAATCTGGCACACGGGCGCCGGGGGCGCGAGGCAGGAGCCCAGTCGGGGCTGCTTCAAGCCCCCAGCTCGGCTCAGGGCTGCTCTCCCGAGGAGTTGGCGGGGGAGGGAGCGGAGGGGAGCGGGCTCGGCGCAAGCACACTCCACACTCCGGTTCGGAGGCGGCAAACCAGATTGGGGGTAATCCTTCACCCAGGGCCCACTGCCGACCGGCCCAGGGGCTCAGGGAGCTGGCATGCAAAGGCAGTGTCGCCGGTGGAACCCGGGCTGCAAGCGGCCCAGGGGCGCTGGGACCGAGCGGGAGCCTCCTGGTAGTCCAGCGAAGCCCGGGGAGTCCGCGCAGCTTGTGCCCCTCTACCTTCCCTTGCCGGTATGTGGCTGCCCCCGCCAGATTTCAGACACCCGAAGGGCCGCCAAGGAGCAGGCAGAGGCCTTGGCCCTCGGCGTTGTGAGCTGTGCTCAGCCCGGCCGGACTGGTCTGAGAAGGGGGACGTCCGCCTGCAGCGCCAGGTGGGCCGTGTGCTCGGAGCAAACTTTAGGGTTCCTAGGCTCGAAGCACCCCGGGGCCCTGATTCTCAGCGATGGGGACTATAAGTGGGGGCTACAAGTGCACCCCGGAACCCTCAGAGCAGTCAGACCTCCCGCGCCCGCCCTCAGCCTTACCGTGCTGCGGAGCTCCGGAGGCGGCGGGGGCAGTGTCCGAGGGTTGGTGGCCGCCAGTGCGGGCAGCCTGGCCTCAGGCGCCCGCCGAGTGTCCCGGCCCGGCTGCAGATCACCCCCTGGCTAGCGGCCGGTGCCCCCGCGCCCGCCCGCCGCCGGCCGCTTCAGCTAGCGGCCAAGTTCATGCTGGCGGCGCTGCAGTGGCGGCCTCAATCTGCTCGCTCCATTCCCACCGCCCGGCTCCGCGCCGCGCTCCCGGAAGGTGGAGTTTCGGGGGTTTAAGTTACTGATAGGCATTTCTCACTGCTGTGTCACTCGGGGAGGAGGAGACACGCACGCCGCACACTCACACACCCTCACACTCACGGCGACGAGCGGCTCCGGCCTTAAAGGGGAAGCCACGCTGCCCTGCCAGCGATCCCGCCGGCCCCAGGCATGGAAACGCCGGGTTTCCAGGCCGGGATGGGGCCACTGGCAGCCAAAGGGCAGCGGCCGCCCAAGGGGCCTCCCAGGCCCTCCTGCCGCTTTTCAGAGGGGAAAGAGGCCGCAGGCTGGCTTCCCTGTGGTCGCCTCATTTCTCCAGTCATCTCGAACCAGGGCGGCTAGGGAGGGATCCAAGGGGCAGAAAGGGCTTAGGTGCACTCACCTCTTTGACTCCGTAAGAAGTGGAGAGTGGCCTGTGTCCTCGGCGGTGCGCTGATAGGGAGAGGCGACAGCAGGGTTACCGAGCGCCTCCGGGAACAAGCAGAGCCCGCCCGAGGGCCACAGGCGCGGCACGGCGCGCTTGGGAAACTTGCACCCCGCAGGTAGACTTCCCACCTCTTCGGACTGCGAGCTGGTGAGCCTTGGGCTCCCAGGACAGACTAAGAGCAAGCAGGGAGAGCGGGAAAGCCAGCACTCACCAGTGACAGGGCGAGAGAGCGCTCAAGACTGACAGAGACCAAGAGAGTCAGAAAGAGACCATGAGAGACAGCGAGGGCAGAGACTGAGAGACAGAAACTGAGAGAGGTACTACGGACAGACACCGAAGGAAATCCGGCAGAGAGAGAGGTAGAGAGGCAGTGGGGAGAAGAGAGAGAGTGGGGGAGAGGGAGAGGAGAGAGAGGGGGAGACAGAGAGGCAGACGGAGGGGGGGGCAGAGAGAGGGAGGAAGGGGGGAGAGAGAGAGAGAAGCGAAAGTACCAGAGAAATGACAGATCCCTGGAGGACCCTGAAGCTTCTCATGGACGAAGCCTCATCACAAAGTAGCCTATTGAACCCCACCATTCCTCTTCGCATTTTCATCAGAGCGGATCCCAGAGCTAGCAGCCGGTCCTTGTCCCCTCCTTGCCAGGGGAGGGCACTCACCTGCAGTGGGTAGCTACTGGGTGGGTAGCACCCGTGCCCCCCCCCCCCGCCCACGAATCTGCCCTCCTGCTCCCGCCCTGAGGGCCAAACATGCCCGCTGTGATAGTGGGGACCAGGGCTCTCAGGTGGTGGCTATGGAACTGCACCCCGACCCCCTCCTGGCCAAGCGCCCCACTCCCTACTTCACACTCCCTCTGCCCCTCCTCCAGCTCTAGGCACGGACGCTGTGTCGCCCACCAGTGCGCTTAGCCCGCTTAGCCGGAGTCCAGGCTCACCGGCCACAGTCTCCCACCCCACTGGCCCAGGGCAGGCGAAGCCGCTGCCCAAACTGGGCTAGACTGGCCCTGTCCACACACTTATCCCAGGCTGACACCTGAGGCTTCTTCAGGAACATGGGTTCTTTGCGAACTGCCCGGCGGGCCAGCACGCCTTGTCCCCTCTCTGCCCTGGCGCCGGGCGGCTGGCGACTCCCCTCCCCCTCCCTGAGCTCTCTGCATCCCTTCTCCAGGGTCCCCGCCTGGCGTGCGTTTCCTAACCTGGACTTCCCCAGGCGGCGGCGGCTGCAGGGGCTGAGCACAGCCCGGGGATGCCGTGTCTGCTCCGACAGCGGCAGCGCTTGGCTCCTGCCCGCACCTCTGAGTAGCGACCTGTCACCACCTCATCTGGTCACGCTCGGCCGAGCCGCGGGCCACGAGTAAAGGGGTGGGCCCGCCGCCCATTCGGCGGCAGCTCCTTCCCTCTACGCCCACGCCTTCGGCCCTCAGCACGCGCTGGGGCCCCTCTGAGAACCCAGCGAAATCCGTCCGTGCGCTACGTATGCGTAACGGGGCTGGGCGTTTCACGAAGTTCCTTGATGGAGGAGCGGCGTCCGGACCCAACCACGAGGCTCAGGTGGCGGACTCCGGCCCCGCAGCCGCGGCCCCAGGGCACGCACGGTCCAATGGGGTGAAGCGGGGAGCGCACAGGGTCAGCAGGGCTGTCGGGAAGGAATCCACCTTAGCTGGGCCCAGCCCTGTCTGCTCTGGAGAGGACCAGCGACCAGGAGAGGTTATGGCTCTCTGGTGGCTGAACCCATGGCAGTCCTTACCTTCACGGTCCCGCAGGGAAGGAGAGCCATCCCCGGGCTATCAGTTCCCCCAGAGCGGAGAGAGCTCTTGAGTCTCTTGAAGGGAATTGATTGAACAAACCTAAATGGGGGATTGACCCCTGGCAGGATGCTTTTAAAACTCCATCCTCTCAAAGCACACTAGCCAAGGAGATGGAAGAGGGCGAGTTCTGTTCCCAGCACCTCCACTCAACCCTCATGTCACTTGCTCTCTGCTTCCCCAGTGGGGCAGGTGATGCTTGTTCCCCCAGAATGTCCTGAGAAGCCTGTGAGATCACAGCCACATGTTTGTGAGATGGCCAACTGCCTGCTTGGCACCGCCACCTGGACGGCCACTAGACGATTCAAACTCCACCTGACCCGACCTCGCTGAGCCCGGATCATCCCCCAAACCCACCGTTTTATTCATCGTCTTCATGTTCTGGATGAGAAAATAGGAGGCTCAGAGCTGCCCAGGCTGAACACCCTGGAGTCTTTCTTGATTCTCTTTTGCTCACACCCCACATCCAGTCCAGCAGACAATTCTATTGTCCTCATCTTCAAAATAAATCCAGAAGCTCAGCCTTCTCTGCTCCTCCACTGCTACCCAGGGGTGCCAGCCAGGAGGCTCTCCCACCCCATCACTCCCATAGATTCCTTCCTCCCCTCTCCCCTCCCCTCCAAGTTTATTCCCTGATTTCTGTGCCAAACACTGCGGTGGCTCCCCATTGCACTCAGAATAAAACTGAAGTGCTTCTGGTGGCCTATGAGGCTCTGCATGACATGCCCTTCCCCCATCTCGATGGCATCATCTTCCCTCTTGCCCTCACTCTCTCTGCTCCAGCCACACAGGCCTCCCAACTCTTCCCAACACACTAGGTACATTCCTACCTGCTAGGGCCTTTGCATTAGCTGTTCCCTTGGGCTGGAATTCACTTCCCCCAGATATCCATGGGGCGGGCTCCTCATTTCCTTTAGTATTGACACCAGTGTCACCTGGCCACCCTATGTAACATTTCAAAGCCCCACACCCACCTCTGACACTTCCTCTCCCCTCCCTGCTTAGTTTTCTCTTTAGCCCTCACCACTAGCTGGCCTCCTCATAGGCTGATCCCAAGAGGGCAGTGCTCAGTGCCTGCTTCTTTCGCTGCTATATTCCCAGCTCCTAGCACAGTGCCTGGCATGGAGTATCTGTTCTATGAATGTTAGTAGATTCTGTTTTCCTGGAACTTTTCAGGAAAGTCTAGGGGCCACTAGACTATACACATACACTGGGAAAGGGGCCCCGTAGCTGTCATCACATGTGAAAGTAGTTCATGACCTAAACGAAGGTTAAGAAGGATGTTGAGTAGGCAAAGAGCTTTGTGTTATGGACATGAAGCCAGCTTCAGGTCATGTCACCAAGGGGTACTGTGGCCCAGATATGTTGGTGGCAGTCTCACAGGTGGCCCCGGATGTACAGAGAGTAATTCCTTTGGCTACTGTTGGAAAGAAAGTTTCCCTTTTGGTTGTCACCTAGGGTACCCCAAGGTTGATGGAAAAATGGGAGAGAGAGGCTGTGTGAGGCTTCTCCTCACTGAGTAGACTGCTTATGAGAGCCAGGACCCTCTTGTCATCAAAAATGCAAGACCAAATTTTGAGCTAGCAGCACATCTTTCCCCATTTACCTAGGCCTAGCCTGTGCTTTACCTGCAGGAGTCCATGTAGCCTGTGAGGTATAAGCAGTCATCATCTTCATGTTCTAGGTGAGGAAACAGGAGGCTCAGAAGTGTGGAGGCACATGTCCAGGGGCACACAGCTCAAGAGTGGCAGAGCAGTAAGCAATTGGGCCTCGAAGCTTAAGCCATTTCTACCTGCTGTGTAGCCACCCAAATTTAGTGTGCGCAGTGCTGGCCTGCGGATCCAGGTGAGGTAAGGGATTCCATGGGGATCTCAAGGGGCTGCCCTTCTCCTTGGGGAACTCCTGACCCTGTTGTTGAGTAGCTACCAAACAAAAGGTTGGGCTTGAGCCATTGGGGCCAGGGGCACCATGCCAAGGCCAATATATGCCCTGCCTTTGGTCTGACCCAAACCTGGAGATTGATGGATTTGAAAACAATCACCAGCCACCTGTCATTCATGGTCATATTCCTGTGAACATATGCCAATTTTTTGCAAGTTCACATGACAAATGCTGGGGGCTTAACTGGGCAGCCTCTGGAATTCTGTGTGTGGCTTATGCAGGTAGGGCCCATGGAGAACATCCATGCCAACCGGAAATCAGAAACACACACACCCAGTTGCTCTATTTATCATTACCCCTTGGTCCAAAGCTTTCTGTGGCTTCCTGCTGCTGAAGGCACTAAATCCCAACTCCTCAGCCTAGCATTCAAGGCCCTCCTAGGTGGGCATCAACCTCTATTTCTAGATTATTCTCTTGGTGCTTTCACACATGCGCCTGGGCTTCTGCACCTTTGCTCATGTATTTCTCATGCCATCTCTCCTGTCAAAATCCTGCCTGGCCTTCGGGGCTCATCTCAAAGGCCTCCTCCTCAGCGAATCCTGTCCTGAGTCCCATCACAGCATGGGCGCCCTCCCTCCCTTGCCTATCCCTGGCCTTGGCTGGCTTTTTCTGACTCCACAGGC